AAAAAAAAAACAAATTAATTATTTATATTTTTTTCCTAACTTTAATTAAGTTTTAAAAATTTTCAATGCAATTTTCCTTTTGTTTTTTTTATCAAAAATCTAAAAATTTAAATAAATTTTTTTTATCTAAACAAACTAAAATCTTATATAAAATAACTAAACTGTTTTTTTTTTCCTGAAATCAAAATATGGTGGAATACATTTTGGATTATCAAATTATAATTTGAATATAATATGAAATTAAGCTTACTAATGAATGTTAGAAAAAATTATAGATTCCACAGAGTTTGTTTTACATGTTAAAAATGAATCAATATGAAATAATAATCATACATTTTTTTTTTAAATTGATAATGTTTTTAAATAAATTTTTTTTTTTTTTTTTTTCAAATTTTGCCTATTGTATGAATTTATTTTTCTCTCAGTGTAGCGATTTCTAAGGCTAATCTGCCTTATCGTCAACACACATTACATGACTTCCCCTAGCCGGCAAGGTCATATATACATATATACATATACATAGATAATGTTCACTAAATCCGCTTGAACTTACCCTGGTAAATTCTTTTCGAACTCCTCCAATCGACTGATAACTGGTACAATTTGTTTCTCTGGCATTTTGTCAGCTGTTATTTCAGCGTAGCACACGACGCACAAAATGAGTTGTAGGTGTAAGAGTTTCACTGAAATCGAAATGGAACTTCGAATCAATTGAATTGAATGCTAAATGCGCTCCGGACGACGTCTCAATGTGCACTGCGAGTGGCTGCGATAGTGCCGTTTGCCTTTTAAGTCGCTTTGGACGCGATGATAGTGCGACGCGTTCACTGATAACAAAATCTCGCGCTCAGCTGGTAATCTAAACTTGTTTTCGCACGCTCTCTCTCTCTTTCTCTCTTTCACGGATTCAAGATTCTGGATAAGCAGCGAGAAGTAATCTCTGAGCTCTGATAAACGCTCGCCACCTGTTCGTCTTAAATGGAGACTGTTGAATGCTCCCTGTGTGATTTGTGTTTTTATACTGATTTCATTTCCTGAAAACTGTCTCACGCATTGTTATTGCCTTTGCCTTTGCCTTTGGAAAAACAAAGACAGCGTTTCGCATGCACCCACCCCCACTGTGCCGTTCTCAGTTCTGCAGTTAATCATGCGTCGCCTTCGTGGCTGGAGCATGCTATCCATTTAATGGGGCATTGCGCTCGCGCCTCAAGTTCATTCCGTTAAACAATATGCATTTCGGTCAAGTAATTTAATGCTTTACGGGCGTTTTTCTTATATTCCATCAAAAACCCAAGGATATTTTGTACAAAGGATGTGCTGAATATGCTGCTTACGAATATGATAGGAATAAAGCTTATTCCATTATAGTTATAGACTTGTGAGAAGTCTTCATTTTCCTCATGTTTATATGTATGTATGTAATTCTTCTATTTGTCATTTGAAGATATATAACATTAACAAATATTTTGTCCAACAAATTTACGTAGTATAAAAAAGCTTTTCAAAAACGCTCATAAATTTTTTTTGACTTAATAAAGAAAAACGGCAAATGTTTTTTTCCTTTTGATTTGTTGTTCAAAGCATTTGCACAAAAAATATAGTTAATAAAAATATAAGCAATTTATTTAATATGTCTTTTTTAGTAAATACATATTTCCATAATATTTATTTTAAGCATATTCAGAAATTTTTAAAGAATTTTAGAGCTTGGATATTTATCTTTGGCTGTATGGCAAATAGAACATAGAATTATGCTAAATATTTTCTATACAATTTATTTATATTAATGGTTTCATTTATATTAATGGTTAGATTGTTGAATGATTTACGGCGAATGACATAGAAGCTAGAAAGCTAAATAGACGTATGGTTGATCTTAAGCCAACATTGTGGGTTGAATTAAAGAAAAATGCTTATGGAAGAGATTTTTTCTATAGGCTATAGATAATCATATATTTAAATAGAAAACTTTTGTAAAGAAATATAGGAACTCGAAAATTATAACTTCTGTGTGATTGTAATGTATGAGTAATTAAAATATGCAACTTACATGTACATATAAGTCTTCATAGAAATGGGATAAATTCTTTATTATCTAATTTGTGGTTTTATCTTATCTATATTCAATTCACTAGAAACTTCTTATCTAAATTTAATTTTTTACATGGTTCCCTTTTCTTATTCTAATTTCCTTAAGTCAATTTATATCTAGCTCTGCCAGAAATTTGTATTATACAAATTTATCTTGGAATCTTGTCTCTCTCACTACTACATGCTACTACTACTACACTATTTTTTAATATCGCTCATTTCGATAAACAATTCTTTTTATTATTTTTATTCAAGTGAAAATAGGATTGCTTATTGTCATCCATAAATTTACTTATTTATTTCATTTTATTGATGAAGTGTGAATTTTGAATATTTGAAACCATATAGATGTTTCTGATCTAATAATATAATTTTAAAATATTGAAAATATTTATTTTGGCATAACAAAATGAGAAATTTCATATTGACTATATAAATTCAACAGCAACCATAAGATCAATATTTGATTTTCTTTGAAATAAAATCAGCCAAATTGTGAACATCATAGATAAATGAGATCTTAATGTATTGCAATCGAACCAGTTTTAATTAAGAGGTGCTGCTGGGCATTATGGACCCGCTCTTTGAGTGCCACGAGTGCCATCTGTGCCAGAAGCATGCCATAAGCGCATGCTCATGTCGTCGCGATTCTCAAATCTGGTCAAACTATTTACTCACGATATTTGCCTGCATAAGCGATAAATCGAGGCATATTAGTGGAGAGCAGTGTCAACGCTTGTGTCTAATCTAAAGCAAACAAGCTGCTTTCCATATTAATTTAGCTCTACTTGCCATTGGATATGCTGTCTGATCGATCGCCCAAAGAGTCCACTGAGTCATGTAGCCCTAGAGGTTTGATAAACAAATCGTTGAGTGCTAATACGATATAATGAAAACACGAGACATTCACGTTGTCAACAAGTGTCTGGCCTCAGCCATATCATCACATACACACACACATGTCTTTCATTAACTGTTTGACATATATATTTTTCCATTGCCCCCGTTAATCTGAAGCATTCGAAACATGTTTTCCACTCACTTTTGATTGCTTTGATTAGTCGTCGCTATTTTTGGCCTTAAATATTGAAATACTTAAGTTTGTAAACTGTGCAAACGTAAATTCAATTTGTTCAGCCCAATTAGTAAATATTGTCTAAACTATGCCAAATGTTTTTCTTTTGCGTGCAAAGCTTTCAAAGAGCTTTTCCTTGGCTCTTTGGCGCAGCGACTATTTATTTGTCTAGCGAGTGGGCACCATAAATAGAAAAATCCGTATATGTAAAATTAGGAAAAGTGTTGAGAGTTTAACGTGGGACAGTGGGACGATACCCAGGCATGTGTATATATGTGTGTATATATATAGCTATAAATTTACTGAATAATAAAATATGTAAACTGTGCTGCAGTTAAAATTATCATGCTAATATCATGTCACTTTTATTTGAATTTAAACTCAGCCTAAAAATATGCTAGTTATTTTAATAAAATTGTTTCTTGGTTTTAGCTCAGCAAATTCATATACCTATGTATCTATGTATCTATGTATCTATGTATCTATGTATCTATGTATCTATGTATCTATGTATCTATGTATCTATGTATCTATGTATCTATGTA